GCTCAAAGTGGTTACCATCAGCGTCCAGACACTTCTGATTATAGCAAACTACTGCTTGAGCAACGTTGACCAAAGTGTCCACTTGTATACATTTTTTTTGGCACTCCCAGTGTGTGTGTGTGTGTGTGTGTGTGTGTGTGTGTGTGTGTGTAATATATATCTATGTATACATCTAGATGTATATATATATATCCTGTATATAGGCTTTTTATCAACAATACTGGAAAGAAGCTCATCAAAGTGTGAAAAACAGTTACTTCTAGGGATGGGATTTGGAGCCATCTTTATTTTCTTCTACTTTTCACTATTGTTCTTTGTAAATCCCAAACAAACAAAATATGGGCTTCCTTTCCAGTTACCTGGTAGAAGATATTGGTATTATTATTTGCATTCTGACATCTTGAATTATCTCGGTTTATTTTTCAAAATGGCTACTGTCTCTGGAGTACAATCAGGAGATAACTATATTCACTTAATTATACAGTAAAGAGCATGTTTTGTAAATCAAGAATACAGACCATAATCTTTTTAGCTTCTATCTACACATTATTCTTTGATTTTTGAAAGGCAGGATTCTAAAAAAAAAGAAATATTATTAAAGGGTCATTTAATTTTCACAGAAACAGATGGATTTAGGTAGAGGGGTATGTCGTGTAAGACATAATGCAATTCGTAGAGGTAAAGATGGTGTTTAAAAAAAAAACCACAACAGTAATTCTTATCAAAATACCTCCTGGCATTCTGATGGGACTGGGTAGACTGCTAGAAGTTAACAGGAGCCCTGTCCCTACAATGGCTTTTATGTAACACGGCGATAACAATATCTTAAAGGAACATGCGGTACCTCATTTGCCAGCATCCTCCCTGATATTGCAGATAAAAACAAAAGAAGCCAAAGTGAGATAGAAAGGCAGGAAACAGTAGAAAGCCACACATTCCAACTTGTTTAGGACTGAGTTTTCCCATAGCTACATGCTAATGAGCTGCTCCCCACAAACACAGAAATTTTAGGCAGTCAGGTGCCATAATAGCTACTGGCAAATTCTAGGAATACAGTCATAAGTTACTCTTAAAAGCACTGAGGTCTCCTTAGATGTCAGAAAGTGTACAACTTGGACATTTTTCATTTTAAGATAGGAAATTTGAGGGAAAAAAATGACATCTTAATGGATGACATGCACCCGAAGAATACAGGATATGCTTTTAGTTATGGGTAGAAATTTTTTTAAGAGAAAAAAATTACCCATTCCATATTTGCGGTTTCTTATTCTATGACTCTAAGGTAAAATGCACATTACACTGGGCTAAGTAAGAGATATCTTAAAAAATAAAGGAAAACATTATTCTACTCACTGTGCAGCTATCCCGTACTACTCTAAGTGGGACATTAGCTTTTTATGTACATCTAGGTTTCTCAACCTCAGTACTACCAACATTTGGGGCCAGATAATTCTTTGTTGTGGGGTCTGTCCTGTGCATCATAGGATGTTTAGCAACATCCCTGGTCTCTACCCACTAGATGCCAGTAGCATCTCCTCCTCATTCATGACAACTACAACTGTCTCCAGACATGGCCAAATGTCCCTGGGGCAACAAAGTTACTCCTAATTGCGAATCACTGATGTATATAGTTTTTATTTCTGAAGCATATAAGTTTTTTGTATTTTCCATCTTTTAAAAAGTTACATAAAACTACATTTTTTAAGATAGTATTCTTCACTTTTTATACTCAAAAATGTATATTCCTTTGCCTCATATATAATGTTTAATAAATATTTACTAAAAAGCTATTAGCATTGCTCGGGAAGTTGCAGGGTTAAAGATGGTATTTATGGACATAGACAGCAAAAAATATTTTTTTCTTAAAATTTGTTAATATTATCATGCCATCAAAATCTGAAGTGACCTATCTTCTATGGTATGTGACTCATAACCCCCCAAATGGACAATACTGCATCACATAAATGCTTTAAGCATTTTAACTGAGAGCCAATGGGTGCTTGTGAAATTATCTAACTAGAAAGCAAAGGCCATCTTTAATAAAAATCTGCAGAAGGAGAGTAACTGATTGTACTACCCTGGTTAAGATTTTGCTGCCAATAAGCAAAATAATTAAATAAAATGTAACAAGTAATTAAAGCCCAATGAATGTAAGACATGAAAGGAGTAATGGCAATAGATTATTTGAAACACAACAACCAGACCATAGCATTCAACTTACAGGAAAGTATTTCTGAACAACACCAAAATCGATAAAACCGATTATAATCCATACCACCAACGTCAAAGTTGAAATGATGATGATAAATGGGACAAAATATCCACTAAACTGGTCAGCCAGTTGCTGAATGGGTGCCTATGAAAATAAAACACCAAGACCATGGGAAATTACAATCTACAAAGAAATCAAATACCACTGACATGGACAAGGACTGGGATTCTCAACTACCTCATTAACTCTGAACTCAATAAAATCTGCCTGATTCTATGGAACTCTTACAATGATTTCTAAAATAAGGAAGCTGAAGTGATAGTGTTTTTAAGATTTCTTCATTACCTTTGACATCTGAGCCTCTTCCACCAGTTTCACAATCTGAGCCAAAGTGGTGTCGTTGCCCACATGGGTGGCATTAACGAGCACAGAGCCATGTGCGTTTATAGACCCGGCAATCACTGTGCTTCCGGGTTTCTTGGTGACAGGCATGGCCTCTCCTAGAGGTGAGGAGAAGAGAGACAGACCATTATGCCCTAAGCCCCAGTCAGCATTCATGGGACCTGGCAACTGCGCTGCTACCCACCCAAAGGGAACATGAAACAAGTCACCTAACCTGTGATGAGGGACTCGTCAGCCATGGAATTGCCTTCCAGGACTTTCCCGTCCACTGGGAACTTTCCCCCGGGAACAACCTTGATGACATCACCCCGCTGCACCAGCTCCGTGGGTACTTGCTCTTCTCTGCAACAAATGCCACTCAAGTTACACATATGGCCACTCACTGGAGCTCATCTTCTGGGTCTGTCACCCAGGTCGGGTTCTAGACAAGCTGTTGGAGTGGTTACACTATACTTGCTTTACATTGAGCAGCAATATTCATTGTATGTGTCAGTTACAGATTGAGTCAACATTTACTGTGCAGCTACTAAGTGCCAGGCACTGTACTAGGCACTGGGAATCCAGCTGTGACCAGGACAGCAAAGTGCCTACCCTCATGAAGACAAATCCTATGGAGGAAACAGACAACAAACAAGACAGTTCCAGTTATTAAATAAGTGCTATGATGAGAATAATGTGACTGGGGTGGTGGGGCGGGGAAGGAAGAGAAAAATGAGAGGGCCTTGCTTGGATGATGACATTTGAGCTGAGACCTGGATGACAAGAGGGGCCAAAATACGGGGAAAGAACATTCATGGCTGGAGGGAAGTAAGTGCGTGGCAGGCAGAGTTCAGATCATATCCAGTCTTGCAGAGCAGTGTGTGTGCTTTGAATGTATGTAAGGTTTTCAGTGGGAAACTCACATCATCCGATTCCCATGTTCAAGTCATCTCTCTGGTTGCTGCATGAGAATGGGCTATAGGGGTAATAACAGAAGTTGAGGGAAGACTTAGGTGGTTGCAGCTGCCCAAGCAAAAAGCATCAGGGACGCGGCTAAAGACGGAGTGAAGACATACCCAGGATGTTTTTAGGGCCTGCAGAGGCACTGAATGCACAAGGAAAGATCAAAGATGAGGTTTAAATTTTCAGTGTGAGCCACCGGGTGGATGAGAAATCATTTCATGAGATGGAGACAACTATGGAGAAGCAGCTGAGGAAGGAAGAGGGGAGAGGACATGAAATGAAAATCTTCATTTTAACCCGTCACGTCGGAGATGCCCATTCGACTTCCATGTAGAAATGTTAAGTAGGAAGTTGACCGGAGCTGGGAAAAGGGGTCAGAGCTCGAGATACATATCTGGGAACAGACAAAATAGAGGCACTTTTAAAGCCATAAAATGGTTTTATTTGTTGTAAGCTCATTTGTGAGCTTACCTAGAAGAGTAACTGGAAAAGAGAAAGACTCCTAGAACTAAACCCTGAGACATGCCAATATTTGGAGGGTGAGCAGGAGCAGAAGGGCCTGCAAGGGACGCGGAGGAAAAGGAGGATCCAATCCAAAGGAGCGAGCCCCCAGCCCATCCTCTCAAACACTGCAGACATAGTTACACAGATGCAAACGTGTAAAATTCATCACGCTCTACACTTAGAATTAATTTGTGTACTTCAGTGAATGTAAGTTATACCTTAATAAAAAAGAACAACAAAAATTTAAAAGGACATTAAAGGGTAAAATGCTGGTGAGAGGTTGAAATGAAGACTAAAAAGATACAAATGGTTGGATTTGGGCACATGGAAATTACTTGATATCTTTGGCAAAAGCAATTGCAAAAACTGGTGGAGGGCTGGCCGAGTGGCTCAGTTGGTTAAGAGCTTGCTCAAGAGTTTGAGCTCTGAGCAACAGTGGTTCAATTCCTGGCCTGAGTTGAGCTGCCGCTGAGCTGCCAACAGGTGGCAGGATGGCTCAGCTAAAAAACCAAAAAAAAACTGGTGCAGGCAGAAGCTCAACTGGAATGGGCTGAGAGAGAATGTGAAGTGGGGAAACAAAGACAGCAGCTAAAGACAACTTTTAAAATAAGTTCTGCTATAAAGGGAAGAGAGAAACAGCAGTAGAAGAGGGAGTGGATTAAGATAGGAAAGTATGAATTGTGCCTATGTGTAATTGCATGCTGGTGGGAATGGTTCCACAGAGAGAGAGAGAGAGAGAGAGTGAGAGAGAGAGAGAGAGAGAGAGATAAATAGAGAGATAGAGAAGGAGGGAGAAGGGAGAGTAGGAACAGAGCGAGAAAATGAGAAGGAGGCCATCTCTCTAAAAGCTTTACATGGGCCAAATATACTTACTTGTATAGATTAACATTGGCTCATGAAAAAATGGTGAGAAAGTCAGAAAAGCAGGCATGTACAATAATAAACAGGACTCTGAGGTTATTTTATACTTTCCTTTTATTCTACAAAGGCTACATTTAAACTACCAGAGAGGAATGTACAGAATGCCACCTTATTGGTGTGAGAAGGAAAAACAGACATTTACTGAATGTAGGGACTGTGCTCGATTTTTGCATGTCTTATCGAATCTTTCCAAAATCATATGAGCACAGTAAGTGATATTTGCCCATTTGGCAAAAACCTGAAGATTTCTTAGAAAGGCACAAAATTGAATATGCAAACCCATTTCTTTAAATGTTGCTATGTATGGCTGTATGAAACTTAGGAATCAGCTTGCGCAGACAGATGTTATGTACATTTACATCAGTATTTTCATTTTAAACAATGGTTATGGGCCGGCTGAGTGGTGCATAGGTTAGGAATTGGCTTGAGACACCAGCTCTAAGCAGCAGAGCCCCGGTTCGGATCCCACATATGAGGGCCAGTGACGCTGTGCCCTCTACAGCTAAGATGGTGAACAACAGCTTGACCTGGAGCTGGGCTGCCATGAGTCACCGGCGACAGTGTAGGCTGCAGTGGGGCTGGCCGGCAGCGGGTGTGAGCTTTCGTGAGCTGCAGTGAGCGGCCGTCCAATGGCCAGAGACCGACTGCCTCACCCGGGAAGAGTGTAATATACCACCATGGGCCAGTGAAGTGATGTCCTCCACAACTAGACTGAAGAACTAAAGGACAGCAACTTGTCTGTTCTACTTCCCTGATTCCCCAACGCTGTTCCCCTCCCCCAATTCCCCAATAAAATCTTTAAAAAAAAAACAAAAAACGGTTAGGAACGTCCTTGACTGAGTGAGGACTCAACAACTATCCAAATCTGAAGGTCCAGCTCCACCCACCACAGCGCCACCTCCCTGAAAGGGTGTGAGGGAACCCCGCTCCAGCAGTGGTGACAAGTGTGGGCTGCCAGAGCAGACGTAGCCTACCCTGAGACTGACTGAGTGCATGTGTGCCACTGTGTGCACCAGGTGCCGGGAACACAATAGTGAACAAGGCAGACATGACCCTGACCTTGGGAGCTCAGAGTCCTTGTCACGGGGCAGCAGTGCGATCTGGGTCAAATCCTGGTTCAAAGCCACAACGTCCTCCTTTCTACAATGCCGATTTTGCTCCCAGGATTAACTGAGATGATGTGTGTCTAAACTGCTTAGCACGGTGCCTGACATGGAGTAAGTGCCCAGTGAATGTTGGCGACTTATTATCACCTAATGGATGTTTTCACCATTGCCTGGCCTCTGTGTAACAGGCACTGTGCTAGGCTGGGGTTACAAACAGGACAAAGTGGCGCCTTCATCTTGTGAGGTGCACAGCCTAGACGCTAAAAGGAGACTCATATATGTAAGTTCAATGATGGCCATAATGAAATAAAAGGAGTGCTGAAAAGGAGAGACCTTTTAAGGGAAAGTGAGCAGCAGGCAGAAGCCCTGAGCCCTGGGAACAGATGGGTAAATCCGGTGGCTGGGCGGTAAACAAGAAGGGGAGGGTCTCCATAACTCAAGAATACTCTGCTTCTTTTTAAAGTCTTCCAGCGATGGAGACATTCAGGCTCCAACACCGCCCTCCTGAGGCCTGTCTGCATGACCTGGAGTTTATCATGCTACAGAGCTCTCCGCTTGGCAAGGAACACCTGCTCACTTCAGAGAAGGGGGCAGTGGGGGCTCATGGGCAGGATTTCTCCTCCCCGTAACCTAACCACTAAGCTTTGAAATGTTCCCTTATATGGCACATATGTCCACTTAAGTGCCTTTCTGTTAGTAATGCTAATCTCTGCTTAATCTAACTTTGAATTTCCCTTTTGATCTGAGTGAATCAATCTTGCTAACTCTACACAGCTTAATTTATAGTGAACAGCCCTCTATGGGGGGCAAGGTAGCTCCTTCTGGTGAATTTCCTGTAGTACTTCTGCCTCAGAAACAAATGCCCCCAAAATCCTGAGTTGTGGGAATACACTTAATTGAAAGACAAGTTTTTTCCCTAGCATTTCTTCAGCTTTAAGAGTTTCTGACAGCAGTCTGTTTACCTCACCTGTCTCCTTTATCATCTAACACAAGTTAAAAAAAGACAAAGAAAACACTTAGAATGGCCCCTGGCCTATATAAAATTTGTAATTTTGTTTTCCCAATTATAAGAAACAAAACACTTCAATGGGAGAGATTGGGGTCCAGGCGGTACAGGTCTTTTAATGTCAAGCATATACACCTGTGTAATTTACAGTAAAACCTTGGATTGTAAGTAATGTGGTTTACGAGTGTTCTGCAAGATGAGCAACATTTCTAATACATTTTAACTTGGTAAACGAGTGATGTCTTGCAATATGAGTAGTTTGTTTCCGGACGCATTTTACTCACAAACAAAGGTATTACAGTAAGTCCCAGACTTACAAACGAGTTCCGTTCCGGGAGAACGTTTGAGAGTCGGTTTCATTCATAAGTCTGACAAAGTAAGTCTTAGACACCTTTGACACAAATATACAATGTAAAGCCAATGGTTGAACAATTCATGTTATAAGAACGAGCGACGTCTACCACCTTTTCGCCTCGGTCCAATCTCTCAATTATTTTCACTTTTGTTTCCATGGTTATTGCTTTGTGCTTCCTAGCAGTCCCCTCCACATCACCACTGCTTTTCCTCTTGCTTCCGGACATCCTGGGCTCTGATTGAGCACTGTACTACTGTACACTATCGCACTGCACAGTAAGCACACAGCAGCACAACTGTGACAATAGCCGGCAGACACCTGAGCTACTTCCGTGATTTGTTCGCATCTATGAATGTTCGTAATGCGAGGTCCATTCGTATCTGTGAAAGTTCGCAACTCGAATGTTCGTAAGTCGGTGACTCACTGTACTGTATTTCTTTTTTTTTTTTAAAGATTTTTATTGGGGAAATGGGGGGATGGGGAACAGTGCTGGGGAATTGGGGGAAGGGGAACAGACAAGTTGCTGTCGTTTTGTTCTTCAGTCTAGTTGTGGAGGACGTTGCTTCACTGGCCC